CAGCAACACATTGAGATGTGTCATCCTGGCTTTTTTGGAAAGTTGTGCTCTGAACCTTGTTAAGACTTGGAGTTAGTGTCTAGAATAACATACTAAACATGAAACAAAACAACTCACAGCCACATATCCCTTGAGGGCTAACGTAGTATTATATATATATATCTCTATGCTACAGGTACAGTATCTCTGCAATTGTGATTGATTCACATGTCTGTGGCAGCTGGGACATTGCTTCCAACTTGGTGAATGTGTTATGCTGACACAAGCACAGACTTCTGAGATGCTGAGTAACTTACCTGTCATTCAGGTTTTGTTGCTGACCTCTAGCTTTTGCTGAGATGGGGCCCCTGTTTTGGTGGCCCCAACAATGCCCAAGTTCATGGCAGAGGCTGACAATTTTCACAGTTCTGTTATTCAGAAAAAAAAAGTGATACAGAAAGATACAACTTTATTGATATGAAACCATTCTAAATGAGAAGCATATCACTATTTGATCACTACACCATTAGAAAATCTCTGCTGTCCCTGATTCTGTCTGCTGATTCCCAAAATATGAGCAGACTGTCAAAAGCAACTTTCCTATTTTAAGTATTTATACACATGTAAGATATAAGAAGAAACTGCCTGTGTTTGGGCTCCTTTTAAAGTTCAATCTGTTCTGTAATCTTTCTTCATTATTTGCAGCTTGGCTGTATGAGAGACGCACCCACTTGCTGAACAGGAACAATGAAGGGAATCAGCTGTGAATTGTATCAGACAGGCAGCAAAATGTTGCAGGCTAATAGTCTTGATAATATAAACCCATTGCAGCGTAGCAGAAATTAAGTATTATGTTGTGGTAACGTAACGGTCTTTTGCCTAAATGAAATATGCGAAGGTAGGCTAAATTACTTGGAGACGTGATAAACAAAAGCCTGGAACATAGCTATTCATTTTCACAAATGCCTTCTGCAAGTTGCAATGTTGGTGAATAATTTTTGTTAAATAGAGTCATAAAACTTCACAAATTGGTACATGTTCCTTCAGGCCCTGAATGTTTCCATTCAGGGGATTACTCATACATGAGTCACCTCAAGAACAGGCTGGGAGAGCTAATCATGAAGCATGTGTTTCTGTGAAGAGCATTGAGAAACTATTTATGGGATTGCAAGAAAGGATAAAAGTTGAAGAATGGGCCTTCCACAACAGTTGCACAACCGTCTGATTTTGCTTGCAAAGCTTTGTCCGCTATTTTGAAGTGAATGCATCATCAAGGGCTGGATGTACGTGGATGAGACATTCAGGAAAATTGCACCTAACCCCTTTCTAATGAGAAGAAAACAGCCTTGCCATGCAGTTGATCTAAATACTGTTGAAGTCAAAGGAAGGCTTTGTGTTGTATCCATCAGCAGGTTTGGTGTTTTTTTTCTGTTAATTGCTTGGATTTTCTCTCTCTTTATGCATATTCATAGGTCACAAAATGACAGTGACAAAGAGCAAAGAGATTTGGAGAGAAGATTTCGAGAAAAAGAACCTGAAAGACAAAGGTATCGATTGGATGATGGCAGAAAGCATAGAGCTCACTATGAGTTTGACAAGTTTGTGAGAAGGAATGAAGAAGAGCTGAAATGGGGGAAAGGATACAACCAAGACAGAGGAAAGAAAGGGAACTACAACTACAGCTTCACTGTGGAGGCAGTAGACAAACTGGGTAAAGAGGACAAGTGTGATGACATGGCATCCAAAAAGGAGCGCATAAGAAATAAGGTTCTTTTATTCATTTAGGATAATCTTTCATTAGTTAAATATGCTTCAAGATCACAGGTTTTACTTTTGCAAACTCAGCATGAAGATGCTTTTTCAAAAAAAAAGCAATTCTTCAATTCATTTTCACTCAAACACAGACTTCTTTCTGCTGTTACCAGAGGACAACAGCAGTTAAAATAAGGTTACAGGTCTCTGCTCATTCATACTTACAATATATAGGGAAGACTTTCTGTCTTCGGTTCAACCCTAGCATTTTTAGAACGCTATTCTTGGAAGCCTTGTGTTTTACAAGTGTATTAAAAAGAGTCAAACATCTGATCTGTACTGAAATTTATAAGAAGTGGCATGCTAGTCTTAAAAATCTACTTTGATTACCCAGCTCATGAGGTAATGATGGACTGGCCAGGCATTGCTCAGTAAAGGAACTGTTAAGGACTTAAATAAATAGCTAATTCAGAGACCATTGTATTGAGAGGGTGTGAATGTGCAAATTCTTGAGTTGTGCTAGTTTTCATGCAAACTGTAAGGTACAGAGCCTGTGATATGGAAAATCATTTGGACCCTTTATCATAAACTTTCAGTGGGCACTACTTGTCAAGAGGATCTGGCTTTATGCAGCTGTTTGTGATGCAGAAAGATGGATATTATGCATTTCATACCACGCTACAGAGCACTAACCAGAATATTCTGGTTGTATGGCCCAATAGGGAACCTTGTTATCTAGTCTGAAGAGATGGAGAAACAAAGTGGAGGAAAAAAGACAAAGGTGAAGGAAAAGTAAAGAAAAAGGGAAAATGCATATTGGGAATAAGAAAAAAGAATGAAAGAACAACAAGCTAGAATGACTTCAGATTATGAAGGCAATTGAAAATGAGTATGGTTTGATTAGGACAATTTCAGTGCTCTGCCACTGGTTTAAAATATGCTGTTTAAAAGCTCAGGTTTTGGTGAATGGGTTACTTAACATTAAAAACTGGTATATGTGAGAGTAAAACACATTTAATAAAAGATTTCTTAAGCAGAGTTTCTAACCAGTATGTTTTAGTATAGATATTTCAAGAATAAACCATGCTCTGGTGAAGTTTAGTATAGGATAATTTTCTAGCTGTTACCTGCT